CTCCATTGACTACAACCCTCTATTGCCTGTCACTAAGCCACTTCCTTAACCATTCAACAATATTGAAATCCAATCTTAAAGATTGCAGTTTATTGACGAGCCTTATATGTGGAACTGTGTCAAAAGCCTTATGGAAATCTAGGTAAGCAATGTCTACTGCACCACCCTGATCTATTATTAGTTACCTATATTAAAAAAATCAATAAGATTAGTTTGGCATGATCTCCCTGAAGTAAACCCATGTTGTCTCTGATCTTGAAATCTATGTGATTTTAGATGTTCAACAATCATTTATTGGTTTCCAATACTTTCCCCACTACTGAAGTAAGACTTCTCCCTACTACCTTTCTTGTGAATAGGCACAACATTTGCTAATTTTCAATCTTCTGGGACTACTCCTGTTAACAATGGTTGGTTAAATAAATCCGTTAATGGTTTTGCTAGTACACCACTAAGCCCTTTTGGGTGTATCCCATCAGGCCCCATAGACTTTTTAAAATTTGACGAATTGTATTGAGTCAAAGGTAATTTGGGGGTACTGAAAAAAAGAGAAAGTAGGGAGTTCTCAATGATACTGGTGGGTTAACAGTAGCAATTGACATATACCAATACTCTCTGTTAAATAGATCAATACACAAATGGATATGCAGTAATTACATACATCCTATTTTACATTAAAATATCTGTAGGCTCTCACCCTATGTTTAGACACCTGTATACATCATTTTAGCAATTTTATGGAATTGGGTAATAACCCTGAAGTAACAGTGCCTGTCATCCTCGTGGAGTAGAGGCTCTTCCTATCGGTTCCATTATGGTGCCAACATTCCCACTCAATGCTTTCTGGTTGAACTCCCACTTTCGGCTCTCAGCTACACAGTTCACCCCTTTTTTTCACTGACTGTGCTCTTCTGTGTGTGATTTTGATGCTCTCATTACTTGCTTTGCCTCTTTTGGCCTAATCTTATAGATCTTAAATATATACAAAGATGTACACACAAATACAATGAATTGGATAGGCTCAACACTTATGTGAGGGATCCCCTTGAACCCCACAATGAAATAAAACCAGACATCAATATAAGTGGAGCGCTAATATACCTGAGTAATATAATTTTAAGATGAATGCACTTTTAGCAATCTTTTACAGAGACCTGTAAACAATGTATGACACAATCATAGTGCAGACAGTATATGCAATAATATATAAGTATAGATGTAACAATTTCCAACTCGCACGTAGAGAGCCAATCAGTCACCTGGCTCTAGTATGTAGCACTCTTGGATCTTTAAGGGAGATCCAAACACTTCTTCTGTTTCCTTCACACCCAAATTGGTCAGCAGGGATAAACAGGGGGACTCCAATGGTGAAAGTAAATGAATAAATTTATTACTAAAAAACAAATAGAATAAAAACTGATCCAATGATCAGAAGTTCTTATAAAATAATAAGTAAAAAAATGACACAGTTCAAAATCCAAATTAAGACCATGGGGGGAGGGGGAGAGGGGGAGGCTAAAGTATTAAAATTAAAAATGAATCTCATTTCTTTGATTCCAATTTTATTTGTAAAGTCACCTCCTCTCCAGTTTCTTTTAACCAATTTTAGTGCACAGAAAGTGAGATCTTTTGGGTTTTGGTTGTGATACCTCTTAAAATGATAGGAAACGCTATGTGTTTCAATTCCTTTTTTGACATTTCTGATGTGTTCAGATATTCTAGTATGAAGGCATCTAATTGTTCTCCCAATGTATAACATGTTGCATGGACATTTTAACATGTAAATTATATTTTCGGAAAAGCAAGTTAATTGGTCTCTTATTGTAAAATCTTTCTTTGTAAACTCTTTAATGTTCTTTATATTCCTTTTTTGTTATTAGTCTCCCTACATGCTAGGCATCCTCCGCAGCCATAAAAACCTTTATTGCTGTTTAAAAAGTTATTTGATTTTTATAGTTACTGTTTACTAAAATGTTCTTTATATTTTTATATCCCCTGTGTACAATTCTGGGTTTTAATGGTAATATGTTTTTTTAAGAATGGGGTCGTCATGTAGAAGATGCCAATATTTTTTTATGGCATTTTGCAGTTTTCTGTTGTTAGCGGAGAAATTGCAAATGAACAGAACTTTTATTTTATTTGCTTCTTCATTTAGTTTTTTCTTATAGGTAAGTAATTATTTCCTTTCCATCTTTTTAATTTCTTCTATACTCATTTGGAGGTACTTTTCTTTATGGCCCTTCTCAATAAACTGTTCTTTAATTATATTGGTCTGTCTTATGAAATCTCTTTCTTGTGTGCAGTTTCTTTTTAATCTCATAAATTGGCTTTTTGGTGCATTGGTAAGCCATGGAGCATAATAGCAACTTTTAAGATCTATGTAACTATTGCAATCCACTTTAAAAAAAAAAAATTGTGTGTATTTCCCTGTTGTCTATAAAAATTGTGAGATCTAAAAAGTTTATCTCTTTTTTGCTCTGTGTTGAAGTAAGGATGATCCCCCAGTCATTAGAATTGAGGAAACTTCAAAAAAATGTATAAGACATCAATGAAATGGCTATAGGTAACCAAGCCTGCATATGAAGTGTTGTGAATGATAAACCTTTTTTCCCAGTATGCCATAAACAAATTAGCGTAACTGGGTGCGAACTTGGTTCCCATCGCCGTTCCATTGATTTGTAGAAAAAAACTATCCTTAAACCAAAAAAAAATTAATGGTAAGGATTAAAAGGATACCTTCAATTTTAATATCAATTTGTTCTTTTTTTAAATTTAGATTTACTTAAAAAATATTTTACTGCCTCTATTCCCTTGTTGTGTGGGATAATGCTGTAGAGGGAATTTACATCACATGTAACTAGTGTATAATTTTCTTCCCATTTTATGTCACCAAGTGTTTGTAATATGTGGATTGTATCCTTCAAATATGAAGGACTTTCTATTACTATTGGTTGGAGTAGTACATCAATGTATTCAGATACTCTTGATGAAATACCATCTACTCTAGAGATTATTGGTCTACCGGGACGGTTGGTTAGATGTTTATGCATTTTTGGCAAATAATAAAAAACAGGAATTTGGGGATTTAAAATATTAAGATTATTAGCCTCTGCTTCTGTTAAAATCTTCTTATCTAATCCTTCACTGATGTATTTTTCAAATTTATCTCTAATTTCTTGACTGGAGTTAGATTTCGAATTTTCTATATGTATTTTTATTTAATAGGAGTCTTTCAGCTTCACTTACATAATTTTCCTTTGATGGGATTATGACCCCTCCCCCTTTGTCTGCAGATTTAATAATAAGATCTTAATTTTTTTGTAAATTCCTCAAAGCTTTTGTTTCTACCTGTGAGAGATTCTTCTGATACTTATTTGTGTTCTCTATTTTATTTACTTCCTTCATTACCATGGTTTCAAATATTTTAATTTCACTTGAAATCATATTTTTCGGGAAGAATTGAGATTTTTCTTTTAAATTACTTTGTATATATGTGCTAGTGGTGTCTGTTTGTGCTAAATCCTTTTTATCGTGAAAGAACTGTTTTAGACATAATTGTCTTGTGAAACGGTTAAGATCAATTAAAAAATCAAAAGGTGTAAAATCCGATGTCGGTGCACACTTAAGACCTTTCTTGAGGATCTTAAGCTCTTCTCTTTCTTTTTTTTTTTTTATTTCTTTATTTATGTTGACAAAGATAGCATATACAGCTGGAGAGCATTTCGTAGTTTGCAACAACTAACACATACATTGTATACAGGGTACGTCATATCTTCCAGAGCATAGGCATACAGTGGGTGGCTGGCTAAGATCCACCACCTTACCCCCTGCAACATACCTTTTAGCTACATCAATACTCCCGGATATGGCATGCTACAGACTGTCATGTTTATCTTTGAGATATATTTAGACAGAGATAGATAGAGAAAGTGGGAAAGGTATCAAGATAGGAAGAGGTAAGGGGGGGAGGTGGAGGAGCATCGTCCGTTGAATTTCCTAACCTGTGGACCCAAAACCTGCCAGGTGTTTTAACTCAAGGGACTATCTTCCCAAGGAGACCATATTTTCTGGAACCGTTTTTGAGTTCCCCTAACTCTTGCTGTCAGGTCGTCCATCAGGTGAACTTTCCTAATTCTATTAATGACTCCTGCCATCGGTGGGGTGGTTTGTTTTAGCCAGTCCACTGCCACTGCTCTCCTGGCTGCTAAAGTTATGTTGTGTATAAGTTTTTGTTCGTGTCTAGTCCACCCATCTATCGTTCTGCTGAGTAAGTATACCCATGGGTCTAGGGGGGGAGCCCTGTTCAGCACCTGGGCTAGCAGATCTTTAATTTGTTGCCAAAAACTTGCTATCAGGGGGCATTCCCACCACATGTGAATATACGTCCCTTTAATTCCGCACCCTCTCCAACATACGTCAGTAGTGCTCTTTTTCATTTGATACAGTTTTACAGGAGTCGTGTACCAGCGGAGTATCGTCTTGATCGCTTGCTCCTGGAACGCTACACAAACAGAGGATTTATGGTTGGCTTCCCAAATCTCCTGCCACTCTATCCCTTCCAGCTGCTCCCCTAGGTCCCTCTCCCAATGTCCCATGTACGCCAACTCTCCCCCTTCGTTAGTTACTGAGCAGAGGTGTGCGTACAGCCGAGTTATCAGGCCCCTAGTCATATGGTCCTGAATGCAAATTTGTTCGAAGAATGTCATGGGATTTAGGGCCGCCGCTCAGACCCATGTCAGTTTTGCAAAATCTTTTATTTGTAGGTACCTGAAAAAGTCTGCGGGAGTGAGATGACCCCTTTGTTGTAAGGCGTCAAATGTCAGTACCGCCGCATCCTGCACCAGCTGATGTATGTGCTCCAGACCTATTCTCTCTAGGTTCCTAAAGTTGCGTGCTGCCATGCCCAGAGGGAATGCTCTATTTCGTAGGTACGGTATTAGAGGTGATGGGGCCGATGCCAGCCTGTGTCGCTGTTGAGCTCTATCCCAAATATGTATAGAGTTTAGGATAGCTGGGCAAGTCGATCTAATGATTGGTCTATGTTCTTTGGGGACCCATATAAGCAGCTGTGGAATATCAGCCCCCACCATCAGTGACTCCAAGTCCACCCATTTCCTCTCTCCGAGTGGTGAATGCCATAATGCTATTTGCGACAGTTGTGTCGCCATGTAGTATCCGTATAGGTTAGGCAAGCCTAGCCCGTCTCTGTTTTTTGGTCTGTGCAATATATGCCTCGACATCCTGTGGCGTTTGTTTTGCCACACGAAGTTCCCTATTGCTTGTTGCAAGGGCGCTAGCTGTGTCTTGGAGACATGAATGGGCAGAGACTGGAAATAAAATAATATCCTGGGTAGGATATTCATTTTGACCGCATGAATCCTCCCTATCCAGGAGATGGGTCTATCGGTCCAGGTCTCTAGTTCCCTGATAAGCTGTTTCAGAAGTGGCGTATAGTTCTGTGAATAAAGTTGGTCAGGGGCTGCTGTCAGTTTAATGCCTAGATATTTGATCGACTGGCGTTCAATACGGAGATGGTGTGCCCTTTGTATAGCTGTCAAGTCCCCTATCGGAATCTCTATGGGGAGGGCGCTGGATTTGGTCATGTTAGCTTTGTATCCTGAAACAGCTCCATATGCCTCCAGGACACCCTGCAAGGCCCTCATTGAGTTGACGGGATCAGTGAGCGCCAGGAGCACATCATCCGCGTAGGCCGACGCCAGGAATTCCCTGCCTCCCACCCGAGCCCAAGGGCCTGGAGTAGGGGTTCCAGGGAAAGCACAAATAGGAGCGGGGAGAGTGGGCACCCCTGTCTGGTGCCATTGTATAATCTGAACGGTTATAGTGGGGCGCCTGAAATTTTTATCTGTGCTCGTACGTTGGTATACATGGCTTTGATCAGAGTTATAGCCCACTCGGGGAATCCCATGTGGGACAGGAGTGTGAACAGGTATGTCCACGTGACCCTGTCAAACGCTTTTTCGGCGTCTAAAGAGACCAGCAAGGTCTGTGTGTGCGTAATTTTCTGCTTCCAGATAATGTCAATGTTCCTTCGGGTATTCTCAAACAGCTGTCTGCCCTGCACGAACCCCACTTGGTCTGCATCTACCAATGTGGCTAAAAAAGGGTTTAGTCTTGTCGCCTGTATCTTTGCCAGGATTTTCATATCATGATTAATCGGTGAGATTGGAAGCTCTTCTCTTTCTAATGTTTGATCCGAGGGGTTAAAAATGCTTTTGTTATCTACATCCATCCTCTCTTCTCTTTGTTGTGACTTCTTTCTTCTTCTATTTCTCCTTCTTCCCATGATCTCTGGCATTTGCCCGGAGAGTCCCACTCTCGTGATTCTTGAAATTGTTTGAATCTGGTTTTAACCGGGCTTTTGTGTAAAAAAAGAATTTGGGGGAAGTACCTGAAAATGATTCCTAGTAGGGACGCTATAGTTTCTGTTCTCTGACAATTTCTGTCTATTAATGGAAGACATATGAGATGTAGGTATAGGATCTTGTTTTCTGTAGTTCCTTGAGGGATTGGCGACTACTTCGCAATAGCTCCTGGTGTTATCATACGGCTTGAAGGTATACTTTTAATCCTTGCTAATAATTTATTTTGGTTTAAGGATAGATTTTTTCTGCAAATCAATGGAACAGTGAAGGGAACCAAGTTCGCACCTAGTTATGCAAATTTACACACAATATCTATATATATATATATATATATTTTTTTTTTTTTACATATTCTGTTTATGCATTTTTAATACTTTTAAAAGGAAAAATAATTTTTATACTGTTTAATATTTTTATCTACTTCTCCCTCCATATTTTAAGATTAAGCAATTGATATAAACACTCTGTAGTGGTGTGGTGTTTCATTTTTATTATTGAATATGCAATTTCAAAGAACTGGTAAACAGCACTTGTAGTTGTTACTAAGTATAATAGGAATATAGGATATTTGCCTTATATCTAAGATTATATCTATGATTATATTTACATCTCTGTTCACATTTTGTATCTGCTGACATATCTCTGATTATATTTATAGTTCTGTTTATAATGTGGGACTGTATGACAGTACATTGGAGTCTTCTGCCCAGTCACACCATAGACTGCTATGAATTACGGAAGTGGAACGCATATTTGCATTTTACAGAGAAAGGAAGTTGCACCAGACCATGTGATCATCATATGAACGGACAGGGCGAAACATGCGTTCCACTCAGAACACTTCCGGTTACACAGATGCTGATAATTTTACAATCAAGACGAAATAAAAGACTGAACAAGCGTTCCATAAAGTATACACCAACTGAGGAAGCCAGCTGATGGAGAAACATGTTTTGGACTAAACACCTTATTATTTTATAAGTATTTTTGATAATTGGATCAGTTTTTATTCTATTAGTTTTTTAGTAATACATTTATTCATTTACTTTCACCATTGGAGTCCCCCTGTTTACCCCTGCTGACCAATTTGGGTGTGAAGGAAACATAAGAGGGCTGTGGTTCTTCCTTAAAGATCCTAGAGTGCTACACACTAGAGCCAGGTGACTGATTGGCTCTCTACTTGTGAGTTGGAAATTGTAACATCTATACTTATCTATTATTGCATATACCGTCTGCACTATGATTGTGTCATACATTGTTTACAGGTTTTTGTAAAAGATTGCTAAAAGTGCATTCATCTTCAAATTATATTACTCAGGTATATTAGAGCTCCACTTATACTATATTGGTGTGTAATCTTACAGATATGTCTGACTACCTCACGCTGGGGTTTTTATAATTTATAATTATTAAATGCTAACTTTTTGATTTTTACTATTTTGGCCACTTCTGCAGGGTACCACAGTGGTTTCTTAATTTTTCAAACCTAATGGAATTTTCTGTTGCTTTAAGTAGTGCAACATTGAAATAATCCCATTTCTCATGGACTCACTTTTTTGTATCAAACCACACTGACTGATGACTAGATCCTAAACTTTCACCTACAGTAATAGCTGATACTAAATCTGCATTTGTTAACACTAAATCTAGTATGGCCTTCTTACCAGTTGGCTTCTCACTGACTTGTTTTAGAGATAATCCAAGTAGGGCGTTTAGAATATGTGTGCTCCTGGCACAAACAGCTATTTTGGCTTTCCAGTTCACATCCAGAAGATTGAAGTCACCCATGATCTTCACCCTTCATTGTCAGTTTAGTTATTTCCTCGATTAGTAGATTATCTAATTCTTCTGTTTGTCCAAAGACCCTGTAAATCACACCTACACAAGTTACTGTGTGATTTCCAAATTCTAACATAAACCAAACAGACTCTATGTTCCGCTCACTAACTTTTATTAGCTTAAATTTTATGCTATCTTTTACAGTAAATTGTATTTATTGTATGTGAACTTTTGCTCAATTGCAGACATTATTTTTGCAATCTGTTGCAATGTTTAGTTTCTCCACTACAAGTAATGCCTTCTGAGTTCCTACAAATACCTATAAGTAATGTATTTGACCATTTTTACATACCATTTTTTGGCACATCTACTGTATGTGATAAAACTTGCATTTTTGCTTTTATACTAACATTTCAGCTCCTATGTAAAATATTGCAAGATAAAGGACACTATATACTGTCTATTTATGAAGGAGAAGCAAAAAAGTGAAAAAAATGGTGTACATTTATACAATTAGAATGTTTACATTTGTTTATAAAGCAATATAAACAAAATTGCTGTGATATGATATTTTTATGTGCTAGCTATCCATCCTTGGTTCAAATAATTGTTATACTAATATTTTTTTAATCAAAAAGTGCTTGGTAGTGAAGGGGTTAAGCAAACCTTGGGATAGTAAGCATCATTGGAGTCTTGAGTTACAAGCCTCATTATTTTAGACTTTACAAAATTCAAACATATTTTCAGATTTTACAGTTTTTAAATATTGTCATGTAGAAATTAGTAGATTAGTAGGTTTTTTAGACAAATAAAAAGATTGTGACATGCCAGTTACTCTATGGCTTAAATTACTTTCATGATACCCTTACAGTTTTGGGTCACTACAGTTGTATATAAGCCTTCATTCTGGAGGCTTGCAAATTATATAATGATAACGGTGAGGGCATTACACTTGGACATGTTAGCACCTTAAGGACGGAGGTAATTGTACAAGTTCTGATCAAAACATAATCAAAACAAACTCTAGAATTTGACTATATTTCTGTTCAACCATAATTTACCTCTTTCATATTAAGTGCACCCACACATATTATATATCAGGAATGGCTACAGTTGTGTATTCTGGTTCTGTGCTGCCTTAGGCATGACAAAATTCAGGCACCCTCTCCTCCCTCCCCCCTCCCCCCCGCCTTCTAAATATCTCTGTTAAAATCAACATGCTCTTTTAATGACAGAGCATGCATACACTGACTTACACTCATTGAGAGATACACACTCATTGTCACACACACTGTTTAACCAACAGACACTTTCACTGAAACATACACATTCACAGACATACACACTAACTCATTCAGAGTTACACTCACTCAGTTACAGACACTCACTGACACACACACACATTCACCAACAGACACACACACTGACAGACACACATACACATTCACTGACAGAAATGCACACACACTCACGGACAGATGCACACACACTCAGTGTCAGACACACACACTGACAAACACATATACTCACTGACAGACACATACACACTCACTTACAGACACATATACACTCAGTGTCAGAAACACACATTTACTGACAGACACACATACACTAGCTAACAGACATAAACACTAGCTAACAGACGTACACATTCACTGACAGACACACATACACACTCACTGGTAAACATACACTCTCAGACACACATATACACACTAACAGACACACACTTTCAGTGACAGACACACACACACACCTCTCCCTGTCACAGGTTCCTCATTTCAGGACCCTATTTAGCCTTGACCTACAGAGAGTCCCTGGAGGAAGTAGTTCCCAAGTAAGTTGATCGATCTCATAAAAGCAGGCATAAGGCTGCTAGAGTAGGACCTGCCAAGAATGGGGTACATCGACGTTGTGGCAAACCTATGCAATATGTGATAATATAATGTAACTAAACACCCATTATTTTTTGCCTAGGTGAGATGTTTTTAAATTGTGGATTGTGTATTTTGTATGAGACACACACACACTGACACACGTACATACACACTCACTGACAGACATACATACACACTCACTGACAAACACATATAGACTCTCACTGACAGACACACACTCTCACTGACAGACACACACACACACACACACTCACTCACTAACAGACAGACAGACATACACACTCACTAACAGACAAACATACACACTCAATAACAGACACACACACTTACAAACACACACACACACACACACTCACTAACAGACACACATACACACTCAATAACACACACATACATACACACACACTCAATAACACACACATACACACATACTTACTAACAGACACACACATACACTAACACACTCACAATTTTTTTTTAGTTTCAGTCCACCCAGCCTCCCTACCTTTGGGAGTGTTGGGTGGATTCTCTATTTCCCTGGGGACCAGTGTCGATCTTCTAAATGCCAGGCGGGTGTACAATGCATGTGGTGAGGGAGCTCTGATCTCCCTGCTCAGCTGTCTCGCGCCTCTAAGTGATGCCGGGGCCAGAGTGACATAATATACCGTCAAGGCTATTACTGCGG